TGTCAGTTGTAGAACCAAGGATGCATCCCTTGATATTCTGATATTCTAACAGTTCACAAACCTCTGGTTTTATTGCAGGAACAAGCTAAAATGAGGATGATGAATCAGAAGGATTCAGATAAAACAGAATCATACTGGGACAACATTTGGGGCAACACCAAGGACAACCGAAATTCAGGTATAAGAAACCTCCCTCCTGAGGCCCAATTTTTTTTTTCTGAAACATAATAGAACGTACCTGATGTGAGTCTCATCCATCCTAATTCATGTCTGACCATTTTATCCTTAATTCATTCATTTCTCACCATTATATTCCTTCTTGAGGGGATTCGAGTTTCTTTCAGAAACTTCCTCTCTTTCCTTGTTAGATCTGAACCAGCCTTGATTTCTTTCATTGATTGCTACACTTCTTAAATTTTTAATTGTCTAGGGTTGTGTCTTTTCCTGTCCTTGGTCCAATGAACTAGAATCAGCCCCTTTGGATTGCCAGCTGATAACAAAAAGATTACTCTTTTTTTTGTTTTTGCTACTATGCTCATATTCCTGCCTGGCTACATCAGTGTCACCTCGTCCAATTAGATGTTTCTTTTTAAAGGGGCAATGCCTCAAACTTAGAAAGGCTTTCGATGTTCATCCTCCCGATTCTCTCCATCACGACATGCTATCTTCCACTAGCACGGGTTCTTAGCCCCCTTATTTTCTTACGTGCCTACTCAATTGGCATCCTCTGAATATTCTTCACTAGTGGTTCCTCCCCTCCCCCCTCAGCTCATAAGAGGCTTTCAGCATAAAATTATGATAATTTGAACTCACTTTGAACTATCTCATCAAAATATCTATAGTAGATGCATGGTTACAATGATCAGGAGCACTTTATAGTTAAAGCCCCTGCACAACATATCTGCTACTTCAATAACATTAGTGTAAAACATGTTCGATGCTTCAACTTGTGACGTATTTCTCATGGTTTCAGATGTTTTTATAAAAGCCTAAGTTTTTATAATGTGTTTATTTGCAGAGGAGGAAGTGAAAGAAAGAGCGAAGAGAACTGCAGCAGCGGCTCGTAGATGGAGAGAGTACTCAAGGAGGGGTGCTGATAAGCCTCCTAGCTATAAACTTCCGGAGGCAATCTCCAACACGGATAAGTGACCATTAATCTTTCAACACCATTAATATTTTTACCATAAAATGTAATTATTTTATAGCCTATACGTCAATATACATTCATGTAAAATTCGAAGTGACCTTAGATCTGTATAATCAGTATAGATGCTATCATTTACAATAAATTGATCTATAAGTTAAAAAGAAAAAGAAGAGAGAGAGAGAGAGAGAGAGAGAGAGAGAGAGAGAGAGAGAGAGAGAAGCATGCATAGAGAGGTTTTTGTGTATCA